CAGGTAAGGACATAGCTAATGGACCGGCCAAAGCTGGAGAAGGTGCTCCTAAGCACAGCAGTTCCCTGAGATTGCAAGGGTCGAGAATATGGTGGGTATCACTCACGGAGACAGACGACCCACCGACCAACAGCATCTCCATCTTATCTGGATTAAGCCTGAATTTATTGGTCCTCATCCAGGCACTGCTTTAGGACTGTCACTGCTCCACCTGGATTAAATGAGAAGGAGAGGAGGAGCCGGGTGTCATCAGCAGGCTGGTGACGCCGCAGCCCCAGCCTCTGGATGACCTCCTCTCCCAGCGGCGTCATGTAGATGTTGAACAGCATGGGGGACAGAATGGAGCCCTGTGGAATGCCTTGGCGTGACTGCCTTGGCGCAGAGCCACAGCCCCCCAGCACCAGCCACGTGGGAGCGGAACCACTGCAAAGCAGCACCTTCAACCCCCAACTCAGCCACTCGGTCCAGAAGGAAACCGTGGCTGATGGTACTGAAAGCCACTGAGAGGTCCAGAGGAACCAGCGGGGTGCACTCCCCCGTCCTCCTTCCTGTTATTTGGCCCAAGAGCGGAGCTGCGCATGGCGTTCAGCTGCAGGGGGTGGAGGAGTGTGTGACCCGCCCTGTGCTCTAGGAATAGGGTGGGCTATAAAACAAATCGCTAAAACAGAAAAGGGTTAGCCTGTTTGTGGGCGGGAAATGCATGCAGAGAATCAGGGAAGGGTGGGCAGGGCAGGCAGGCGGCAGGATCTTGACCTGCCTTCCTCCTTTTCCCATGTCCCATACGCCCCCTTTAAACTTTTCTGTGCAGGTATTATTACATTCCTCAAAACAGCCTTTCCCAGTCTGACAACCTGCAGGGGAGGCTGGACTACAACTCCCATCACCCACACATCTTGATGGGACCTGTGGACAGTGGAAGCACTGTCATGCTGCCAGGCTGGGGAAGGCTGCTGCCGCAAAGTGAGGGCCCGCCAGCGGCCTCTCGCACGCAGGAAGCTTTCTCAGCAAACTGCACGCAGTCTGGAAGGAAATGGGATGACCTGGCTGTGGGAACTCTGCACATGCTCTAAGGCAAGGCCCCAGCCCTTACAAGGACCATCGGAAGCTGCCTTAGATGGAGTCTGTCTTGGCCTGTCTCAGCTGCTGATGGACAGCCGGGGCTCTCCGGGTTTCTGTTACAGTCCTACCCTGAGACCGGGAGCAGGGGCCCCTCCGGGTTCTCCGGCACGGCCCTGCAGCCAGCTGGGCTGGGTGTTGGCCGGAGCGAGGCATCCATTCAGCCTGGCGCTGCAGGTGCGGGTGGCACGTTTCTATTCCCGGCTGGCTGCCGGGAGGGGAGCCGGAACAAATCAGCACACGCTTCGCATGAGGCTGGAGAGATCTGAGCCCGGCCTGATTGCCGAGCGCTTGCTGAGCGCCCCACGTCCCCCCAGTGCAAGGCCCACGTGCCGCCCATCCCCTCTCAGGCACGTCACGAACCAGCTGGAGCCGAGCCGGGCGGCCACGTGGCCTCCTTGCTCAGCCGGGCGGCATGCCGGCCTCCGAGCAGAGCGAGCAACGGGCCCTGGGTGCCTTGACGCGGAAGAGGGCACCCCTGGGAGCCCGCGTGCCTCTGTCGGGGGGGCCGGGAGTGGGTTTGATGCAATAGACCCAAGCTTCTAGCCCTCATGAGCAAGGCCTGTTTAGCAATCGGCGATTCATGCCGCCGGATCTTAGAACCTCGCCAGGGTGCTGTTCCGGCCAGCAGGGGCCGCGCTGGCCTGGATGGACAGAGAGTCAAAGCAATGAGTGGGAAAGAGTGCAAAATGGTAAGGGGGGGAAGAGGTGGGGGGGGGGGGGGGGGGGGGGGAGGTGCTCTGTTCCAAGCCCCTCCTGGCCTGGCACCCTTCCCCAGTCTGATTTCCCCAGAGATAATGCCTTTCCCTGGAATATTGCTGCCCCAAAGGACAATTCAGAGCCCCGTGGGTCCTCCCTGTGCTGGAGAACTGGGCCTTGTGCACGCAGTCCCAGGCAATCCGGCCAGCAAAGAAAATTGTATCCCCCCCCCACCCATTTTCACTAATTCTCACGAGGCTGGTGAGCTCTGGCAGGGTGGGAAGGCCAGCAGATGCTGAAGGCATCCTTCTCACCCCGGGCATCCCTCCGGAAACCTGGTTCTCGTACTGGCCTGGCATCTCCAAGTCAAGGAGCTGGGATAGCAGGATGGTGAAAAAGCCCCCCTTTCCTAGCAGCATGATGGGACCGCCCCAAATGGGGCAGTGGCTCCCCTTGGCTGAGGTTTGCATGGTTTGCTGAGCCCCAAAGGGCGGGCCGGTAGGTTAACAGGTAAGCCCAGGTTCAATCCGGAGCGCTCCTAGGCAGCGCTGGAAACAATTTTGGCCTGCACAGCCACGGCTGGCCGGCACCGACTATCCCGGGGCTGGATCAAGCCGCCGTTTCACTGGCTTCACACCCCCCTACGAAGCCCCATTTCCAGCACACGGCTCCGGCTGCGCGGCTTTTCTCCAGCTTCCCGGCTCCCCTCCTGCCCCACTAACCCAGCAGTGCGCATGAAAGATGCATGAGGCTGCAGCAAGTCAGCACGTTCCCGGTCGGAACGCTTCCAAAAGCTGCCAGGGAAGGATCCCTCGAAAGGTGCGGCTTCCGTGTGCGGCTGGGCCCGTGTGCTGGCTTCCGGGCTGGTGGCCCAGGTGGGGAAGGAGCTGTGGGGCACGGCCAAGCGGTTGCACAGGTAGCTGCGATGCCTGCTCGCTGGCGAAGGTGCGATCCTTCCCAGAGGCTCAGCACCCTCTCCTCCCCATGTTACGCATGCTGGGGTAAACGCACCGCCGCTACCCTTCCAGAGTCTAGAAACTTCAATTGCTCCAAGCCATTTTCAGCCAGGAAAGGCCGAAGGTGTGTACAAACTGGCCCCCTTGCGTGACATCCTTGGTTCCCCGCCACGCTCCAAAGAGCAGGCATGGGAGAACCGTCCAGGGGCCAAACCTGCTCCTCTCAGCTCTTCATCACATGGCAGGTTCCCAGGCTCTGTGTTTTCTGCGCTGTAAAAGGTTAACTGCCTCCCCTAAGGCTGTTTTGCTAGCAAAAGTAGCAAGAGCCAAGTGGTTTAGTGGTTCAGAGCAGGGAAGGATCCGGGTTCTGGTCCCCACCCAGCCATGGAGCCCACTGGGTTACGCATGCCAGGCACTGCCCTGCAGCCAACAAGGCTGAGGTTGCGAGGAGGGGTCCTCGAAAGAGGTGCGTTATAAATATAAAAAGACGCCTGAAGGACAAAGAGGCTCACTTTGTTTAGTGCCACTGAAAAGCAGCACCACCAGCCCAGCTTTTCTAAAACTGAACTTGGCTGGAAGCAGTCCCCTGACCCCAGCAGGAATTAAACTCAGGCCTTTCCGGCAAGCCAAATAACCTGCCCAAGAGCTATGCACAAAGGGGACCACTTCTTCTCTGCCAACAAACCCCTTTCCCTGCGTGCAGAAAGCAGCCGTCACTTCCACCCGCTCGGCACGTGTCAGCCACCTTTGCCAGCCCAGGGCCCTCCAAACTCACCGCTTTCCAACTGGTATTAACCTCAGCCAACATGGCTACTGGCCTTTAGGCAAGCATTTAGTGCAGACCTGTGCTTAACTCGAAGCAGGAGTCTTGAACTGCAAGCAAGGTATGACATTTGATCGTGCAAGTTTGATCGCTGGACTGGGAAGCCCCAAAACCACATGCCTGCTCATCCCGGAAGGTTGCTGGGTGACTTTCCACCCATCACTGAACTTCAACCTAACCCACCTCACAGGGCAGTTGTGAAGGAGGGACCATGAAAGCTACTGTAGATCGCTTGCAAAAGGAACCAAAGTATTGAAGGAAAACTGGATTTCTGGATATGAAGTTCATTCCATTTTGAAATATTGGCTTCAGTTGCAGTGAGGTTGTAATTCTCACGTTTGCGAGTCGTCCAAGGAGACTCTCGCAAATGAAGGCAGAGTAAATAATCCAAGCTTCATCATTCACACTTCCTAAATGATAAGGTGCGCTTTTAAAAAACCATGGCGCATCCACCAGCCGGGTCACGGCCTGACAGTTGCTCGCTGGGCTCCTTGCTTCCCTTCCTATCGTGAAGTACCAATTTACTGCAAATTCTTTCTGAGCAGATAATCAAGGCCAACAGGAGTAAAATCTTGGGAGAAGGCAGTCCTTGCACACCTGGATGGCAGAGAGGACGGACTAGTTTCAAGAAACAGGTGCAAATCTCTTTCCGATGTAAAGACAAGGCTCTGTCTTAGCTCTTCCTGCAGGACGGAAATATGAGCCAGTCACCACCACACTCAGAATCTATCACCGTGCTGTCCTGCCTCCTCCTTTCTTATACCCTCAGGGTGTTTAGCACTTTCCATTTACAGACCCCAACCTACCAGTTGTGGCGCCTGCCCGTGAAATTGTAAAGCGGTGAAACAAGAGATTGGCCGATTATATCACATAAATAAGCCCAGGACTTTGCACACGATTCACCGGGGTGGAGGATTTCAGAGGAAAGGAATGGAAAAAACAGGCCGTGTCTTCGCCCCCCAAAATGGAGAGGGTTTTTGTCAGTTTGTCAATTTATTTAAAAGTAGCGAAACATTTCAGGTCCCTGGATTTGGAGAATACTCCAAATGACAAAAGGCAAAGAAGCTTTGGGACAGGTTTACACAAGGTGGAGCGGACATCTCCTAGCAGAAGTGGGAAAAGGAGAAAGATCTGACAATACAGTCCAGGAGATGGTATAGTCCTACCCTTCTGCACTGTTAACTCTGCGATCACTGTGAAGGCCCTTAGTGGACACATTGGCTCAGGGTGCAAACTCCTATTCCAGCAAGGACTGACCGCTCACTTCCGCTGTGGCAGGGTGTAGTGGATGGTTGTTTTTTTTTTTACCCCAAGCAACTTGCAGGTTTTCCCTAGTCACAAAAAAATCTGCATGTGAGAAGGTTAACAGGATAGGGAAGAGCAAGAAAAGAAAAACTACACAGCAATTGTGCAACCAGCTTCGTTAGAACAACTCAGCAAAATAAAATTCCGGTTTATTGTTGGACAACATCGTTTTCACACATACAAACAGGCCAAAAAAAAAAAAACAAAACAAAACAGCAACTTCAGACAAAAAAAAGGAAAAAAGAAAAACCCTTTAGTCTTTGGCCTTGCCATCTCATACAAACCACTATTTATGGTACAGCTAAAGTACATACACAAAAGTTACTGGAATGCTTGGAATAAAGATTGGACTTTTTTTGCGTTTTTGATTCTTTTTTTACAAGGTCTTTTTTTTTTCTTCTCCTTTGAGATAATGGTTTGGACATGGTCACACCACAAGTAAAGTCAAGAATTTTTTTTGTTTTTAGGGACAGAGGAAAAAAACCTGCACATCAAAGCCCCCCTTTTGGTCAATCGGAGATCGCGTTAAAAATGGCTGACCTCGTCACAATTATGTACAAAAATATAAAATGTAAATAAAAAATACAAACAAATTCTCCTTTAAAGTTACTTTTAAGAAAAGCAAGCTGGGCCTTGAAGTTTTCCGTGGGGGAGGGAAGAGTGGGGTGGGGACAGGGCCGTCTTCCCCCGTGCTCCCCAAGGCGGCAGCGGACGAGGGAAGAGGCTTCCGCTTTATCATCTCATGGGGACTGGGCGACCGGCAGCGGCGCACTGGCGTTTTTCAGGGTGTTTCTGCTCTACTTGTGCAGACAGTGACCACAGCAAAGAGGACGGGGGACGGGGTCTGCAACGGGGAGTTTCAAAGGTGAAGTAGGCCACGCTGGCCTTTAAAAAATTTTTCCTCTTAAGTTTAAAAAAAAACGTGTTTTCTCTCTCTGTTTAGCACTCCGCTTCCTAATCATCCGCGTCGGTTTTTTGCTTCTTGGGATCGACGTCGTCATCCTGCGGGAAAGCAGAGCAGTGCTGGGTGAGTGAGAGCGGCCGCTCAGGAAAGGGGGGCCTGCCCAGGCTGTCCCCAACTCTCCCGGCTTGCAAGGTTTCGGGGCTGAGCGGCACAAGCGTGGGGATGTGGCGGGCCGAGGCCTCCGGGCGCCCCACCTGGGGAGGAAGCAGCCGCGACTGGGGGTCCCGGACGGGGCCAGCTCTGGCCTTTCCCCAGGCCCTGGGGAGGACGTCCACCCCAAGCCCCAGCACGGACTTCCCTCCCCTCCACGGCTCCTTGGCCTGTATTTCCCAGAATGCCTTGCAGCGGCAGTTTTGGGCAGGCAAGGCAGGGCACGATGGGAGCGGAGGTCCATGACCATGAGGCACCAGGTGGGGGCAATGGGGCAGGTCCAGGCTTGGCCTGGCCACGCCTGCTGCCGGTCAGTGTTGGCCGCACTGGGTGAGGTGGACCACGGCTGCGTAAGAGGCAGCCCCCCGCCCCCCGGTTGCTCTACATGCCCCGCTCGGACAAGGACGAAGCCGGTGCGTCAAATTTAGGTGTGTGGGCTGGCAGGGGGCGGGAGGCAGCTACTTGCGGCCACCAGATACGCCACGCTGAGACCTGCCACGTGACACGAACCTCCAGGACAGCCCAATGGCTTGGCAATGAATGAAGCTTAGCCCAGGGCAGGGATAGACTGCCCTGCTGCCTTGGGACTACAGCTCCCATCAGCATGGCCAAGGATGATAGGAGTTTTGGGGGCAGGGAATGCAGTAGTACAATTCCCAGCATGCCCCGGGAGGAAGACCAGCCATTTAAAGCCCTCTAAATTTGCAGGGCAACAAGGAACCACAACTTTCTATCCATGCCACATGCACAACGGAGAGGCACAGAATGCGTGAGAGCTGCCCCTCCCTGCCTGGGCACAGAGCCATGACTGCTGGCTGGGAATGATGGGCATTGCAGTTCAATGCCTCTGGGGGCCCCAGCATGAAGGGGAGGCCCAGTACTCCCACCCACTGGCTGGACGTCCCTCGCGGTGCCCCAGGGCTGCTCACCTCATCGTCCTCAGCTGCCCGCTTGCCTGTGGGACCCTCTGCTTCATCATCCTCATCGCCATCTTCTTCTTCGCCTGTGGAAAAGAGGCGGCTTGAAAAATGGACCGGGAGCACCTGCACTGCCCTGGTGGACTTGACCCACTATCTTTCCGTGTTCCCCACCTGTGCAAGACCCCCCAAGAGAGGAGGCAGGCAAAGCCCCCCCCTCAAGCCCCCATCCTCTGCAGACAGCCTGCATTGGAGAACAAGGGCACTAATAGGAAAGCCATGCTAAAAATTTGGGAAAAGACGGGGGTCTTCATTTGCTAACTAGACTCTTCTGTATTTCCAATGCACTAACACAGGCAGGCTCCCTCCCCCCACCCCAATGCAGCGTTTCACTGGTGCTTGGTTATAAAAACCAAGGAAAAGCCATCAATGTATAAACCATAAACACACCACTACAGAAAAATGTAGGTTCAGGATCACGCTGGGGCTGTGCTTTGCTCTGCCCAAGCCCGGTGTGCAAGAGTGTCACTTGGCTTGCACGCGGAAACTCCAGAAAAGCCAGGGCTGCGGGCGGGGGGGGGGGGTGTCAAAGGGCGCCTGAACAAGCCACTTCTGTGAGGTCGAACCTCACAAGATGCTCCAGGACGGGGGAGCGGCATCGCGCTGCTCAGCCAGACTGATTACTTCCGCATCCCTTCCCTGCGATGAGCCCATCCTTAATGAGGCCGGAGAGCCAGAATTCACTCGCTCTGACTCATTATCCGGTACTACCGGCATGGATTCTACCAGCGGGCCGCATCCTTCGGCACTGACGGAGTGTGCGCCAGGCATGGACTGACCCAGATAAGGGGTGAACCAGAGCAGCGGGATCAGGGACGGCTCATCCCAACAGGAGGGAGTGCCTGCGAAAGCCTTTTCAAAGCCACGGGGCTGGGGGGGGGGGCAGGTGTTGTTCCAGCATAAGCCCTTTTAGCTAAGTAGCCGGCCCTCCATGTTTAGGCCAGTAATCTCACTTGCGTGTTACCGTGAGCCGCCAGGGGAGACTGGAGTGGAAGGGCAGGGGATTATGGGAGTTCTAGATTAGGGTCATCTGGACAGAAAGGCCGCCCTTCCCTACTTGGGAGGGAAGATTAGCCCCCAGGAAGGGCTCCCAGCTACTCCTGGCTTAGCTGGCGCAGTTTAGGGAGAAGAGAGGAGCCGGGCGAAGGCTGCAGCGGGACTGGGGAACTGGACTGTTGCTCAAGCGCAGGCGACTGGGGCGTTCTGCATTCCGGGATTTCGGCAAAATCAACCGGCGGATCAAAGTGGTATCCGGAAGAGCCGCCCGGCAAGCATTCAGTCCTTCCCTCCGAGAACCAGCTTCTATTCCTGAGCTGCCATTTGTGGCATGCAGCCTCCTGACCCCGGCAATTACTTGGGGAGGGGGGAATGGAGGCCCCCCAGGGAGAAGCCCTCTCAGGCTCGCAGCTGCCTGGGACAGGAGCAAGTCCTTTGCTCCCATTCCCGGAGGGCAACCCGCACGTTCCCGGCTCGGTGGCGACATCACCATGGTTTCCAAGCTCTGCTCCCCCCCTCGACAGGAGGCAGGGAAGCAACACTCCCGTCCAGTGGCAAACACCCAATTATGCAAAACTGGCCCGATCGGCACAGGAAGCCCTCCAGAAGCAGCCGAAGGTTGTTGGGGGGGGGGGGGGAACGGACACCCCAGCAGCTTTCGAATCTCCAGCAGGGTTTCTTCCTAGAAAGGAGCCGAACCTTTTGCAAGCTGCCTCGTTTTCCACTTGGGGGCGGGATGCACCTGAGAGCTCAGAAAAGCCCTTAAGGACGAAGGGAAGAAAAGGCCATTAAGGTTGCCCTCGGCCGGCTAGTGCTGCAAAAGGCCAGCGCTAATTCAGCTCCTGGTGCGTTTTGCGGGGGGAAAGGCGTACCCAGGGGAGGGCACGAAAGCTCCATGTGTGGCCAGGGGGAAAAGCAGGCGCACAAGCCCCCAAGCGCAATGGGGACCCTCACCCACTGGCATCCGGTGCAGGCACGGAACTCGGGCATCTGACACGAAGCTGCAGCGGCTCCTGTCCAACCCCCCACCCGGCCGGGGGGGCAGAGAAGGGGTCTTTAGACCTTGCTCTCACAGCAGTACATAGGGGCACAGGGGCTGCTCGGCCTTTCAGCCGTATCGCTTTGCCAGTGGAGAGCCACAAGGCGTTTCTTGGAAGAGTTACGGAGCAGGTGGGATGGAATGAGGATGCCCATGTGGGAAGCTGCTGGAAGTTCCTCGACTCTTCAGCACGGGAACAGAAAAGTGCTTGGGAGACACCTGCAAACCTCCAGCTGCCAGTCCTGCGGCAGAATGGCAGCAACAGAGACTCCGTGGGTTTCCCTGCATGGCTGGACACGCACGGTCTGGTTTTGGCTGGTCAAACAGTTAAATTAGCCTTCCCCAGCGTAGTGTCCTGCAGGACTGGAGACCCCCAGAATTAAGTCTCCGTTCCACAAACATGAAGCTTTTGAGCTTGGTTTCGAAATCTCAGTCTGACCCACCTCACAAGGTTGTGAAGACAGGAAAGGGACAGGTGGAAAAGGACTAGGCGCGTTCCTTCAAAGGTGTCTAAAATAAATAACTGGGAGGAAAACATCACCTATATGCTCAAGGTGGGCAACTTGTATGCCCAAATACCACTCCACCTGTGCCAGCTGGTAAAGCCAGAGGAGGAAGCAGGAGAAAACCTCCCACACTGTGCGCGTGTGCTGGTTTGCCTGTGCGTGTGTGTGCTGGTGGCACTGGTGGAAAGCCAGCTGTCCCGTTGATGGCGCCCAACCCAGGACGGTCGCTAGGGGGAGCCGCTGCCCTCGCAAACCAAGCGAGGGTGCCTCGTGCCAGAGGCCCAGCTGGGGCACGTGGGTAGGCAGACGCAGAAACTGGACAATTACCGTCACCGTCTTCCTCATCCTCCTCGTCGTCTCCAACTTCTTCTTCCTCCTCATCTACCTCGTTGTCGGCTTCCTGGTCCCCGTTTTCCTCGTTCTCCTTGTTGAAACAAGACACACTTAAAAAAGTGGCCATGGACACCGGCTGGGCTCAAGCCAACGGGGGCTTCCGGGCCACCTGGCGCTGCTCTTTCAGGATGCCAGCACCTTAGCGGCTCTCCTGGGGGGGGGGGAGTGGGAGCACAAAGCATACTGGGAGTTGTAGGCCAGCTGCGTCTGGAGAGACATAGGGCTGTGCTCTAAGGCAATCCAAATGAGGATGCCATGAAGGGGGTTTGGGTCAGGACTGGGATGCTGGTGGGGACTGGGGACAGTAACCAGAAGGGAGGCCCAACGCCTTCGACACCCTTCCCCAGCCTTCTTCTTTCTGCTGTTTACAGTCGTTTTCACCCACTCCATAGCAAACAAAGCATTTCAGTCAGATGCAATGGGTTACTTCATGATTTGAATAGTCTTTTATTAATAATAAAATCTCCTTCCACTTGTTTGGGTTTTCATTCACCCCCATATGCTGCCCACAAAGCAATTCAGCTTATCCTGGAAAAAGGAGATTATGACTTTGCATCCACACACACAATCCCAGGGCTGGCCTCAAAATCCGAAAGGTGGAACTCCAACAGCAAAGACATCGATTTGCTTGAACGGTTCCACCTCTGCTCTCTCTAGATTTCAATTTAATGTATTTTTTAAAGGATCTCAGCTGCAGGGGCCGGGGAGGAACAACGGAGAGCTGCTGCGGAAACTCCCTGGCAGACCGAAGAGCAGGCAGCTAGCTCCGTGCCGGTTCAACTGCTGAGCCGGCTTCGCCCGACAAGCAATACTTACAGCGTTGCCATTGGCCGGTGCATCTCTGCCATTTTCTGTCTCTTCGACAACCTCTTTCTTCTCTTTCAAGTCCTTAAAAGGGACAGAAATAAACCAGAATGAGTCACCAGGATTCCAGCCTCCAACAGGATCCGTGCTCTTCTCGGGGAGCTGGACTCCCCCCCCCGCCCCCCAGGAGAGTTGGAATGGCGGAGGGGGGACCAGCAGAAGCGTTGCAGCAGCAGCAGCAGTTGGGGAAAGTGTGGGAATGGACGAACCGCTCCCCGCCCACGTGCAGAACAGCTTGAGCGCCGAAGCCTGGCTGGCTGGCGAACACGAGCGCGGCTCCTTCCTTCCGCCCTGAAAAGACGGGCTCCACTTCAAACATCTGGCACTGACAAGCACACGGAAACCTCAGGACTCCTAAATGGAAAAGCCGGCTTGTCGTGCTTTTCCTACACGACGCCACCTCCCTCGTAACAGGCCACATGTTTATTGGATTGGAGTCCTCGTCTGGGGCAGAGAAATGCCTCCACCCCACCCGTCCTCGGCACCCAGAGCCTCACAGCAAGTTCCTCTGTCCTGTGAAAAGGTCAGGCAAAGGCCTGGGTGAATTCAGGGTTCACAAACCAAACCACTGACTTTGAACGAGAAACCGCACGGAAAGGACTTGGGAGCCCACAGAACTGAAAGTGAGCGTTTCTCTGCCTACTGCACGTTGGGCTGCAGAGGAGCGGAAACGGCACCATGCCGGCTGCTGGAGCCAGAGAACGTGCCCCGCCTGGCTCAGTTCGCCTCCAGGAGCACGCCTGTCCCGTATGCCAGAGGGGGTGCCTCTGCACCCGCAGCACCCGGGTGGCAGCCGGCTCTTGGCGAGGCCGTGCGGTGCCTGAGGACATCCAGGCCACACTGACCTCCGCAGCAGCAAGCCAGGGCTGGGCGCTGGACGGCTCCGCAGCCCCCCCCCCCACAGAGTCTGCCTTCACTCCCTGCAGCACGGGCTGCTCGAATGACGACAACCCCGGTGCGTGCTGCTCCCACATAATTCAGGAATGCCCCCGTCCCACGCAATCCTCTCCCTCATCTTGACTTGGATGAGACAAGCCTCTGGATTATGTCGCCGGCACCGCAGGCCCAGGCAAGGCAAGGCAAGGGTGCCCCCTCTAAGCCTCTCATGGCAGCCGAGGCTGCCGGGTAAATCAGGAATGGATTAGCAAGCTCTGCCTGCACTGCTCAGGAGCAGCAGGCCCCCCTCGAGTGCTTCCCGTCAGTGCCACTAACACACATCTGTTGCTCAAGCCCGACTCTGGCAAGACAGCCCAGCGTATTGGGTTTGCAAAACATCTGACTGTGTTCATCCAGCGAGATTAGCAACACTATGCCAAGAAGCAGGAGCAGATTCCAGCTCTATTAGCTATAGCCACAAAGGCTGGATAATGCTCCGGAGCAACCTCCCCGGGCATCCTTGCAGGTCGGCCGCATGGTCAGAAGTAGGACCAGCAGACGCGTCCAGCTCCGAAGAACACAGCCATCTGCAATGGACTCTAGATTGAAAGCCACAAGGCTCAACTCAGTGCTTAAGCCTGGAGAGGTGACTGCTGGAAATCAACTACAACATTGCTAGGGATTAAAAAAACAAGCAGAAAATCCCACATTATGGAATGCAATTAAAGCCTGCCTCATGTAACGTACTCTTTTAGTGCAGAGAAATTTGCCAAGCTCCTAAGCTGCACTTAGGATACACACATCTTTTATTAACAACAATGTGAAGCCCCATTACTGCACAAGGTCTTCAGCAGAGGAAATATCAATGCAAGGAGCTTACACGAGTCTCATTTGATAGCAGAAGAGTGGCAATAAAAATGCCAAACAGAAGTAATTCCTACTATCTACAAATCAGCAAAACCACATGCATGCTAAAGCCAAGAGCAATCCACATACTCAGTGGATTGTTTTTTAAATTGCAAGCTGTTCCAAAGTGTAACAGTAGCCCCTAATTATCCAGACAGTATTTTTTTCAAAGCTCCTTTAATAGTAGGCCAGCGCTGAACACAAACCTCCCACCTGCAGGGGGCGCGTGCACTGAGCACTCGGGGCTGGCGGTACCGCCATGCGCCCTGGGCGATTTCAAACCTGCGCGCCACACTTGGCGCCACTCCGATTGGCCGGTCGCCACCGAGCTCCCAAGGTATGCCGGGACGTATAGTTCTCTCCGAGAGCAGGCCGGCGGCCAAAGCCCCGTGCGAGGCAGAAGTGGCAGGGCGCGGGTTGGAAGCGGACTACGATTCCCAAGAGGCGCCGCGCAGGCGGGGACCAGAGAAGGCGAGCGAGAGCAGAAAGCGGCACGTGGTGGGACGCTTCGGGTTGCCGTTCGCTCGCTGTTTACTGCGGTCGCAGACAGCCGGGGGCGGCGCTGGAGAGAGGAGCCGCCGCCCGCCTGGGAAATAAATCTGCAGCTTTCTACCCCCGAGCATTTTAATGCCCTGGCGCTGCAAGCAGGGAAAAGGGAAAAAACAGCACACACTTGTTTTCTCCACCCCGAAAATAGGTTCGGGGTTCACACCTCCCCCAGGCCTTCTATCCATGGGGGATGGGAACTCTTCCCCACGGGTCCAAAAAGGGTCACGTTGGGGGAAACCGTGAAAGCTGCCGCCTCCGCAAAGAACAGGTTCGGGGGCAGCAGCCCTTCATCCGGGAGTGTGTGCCAACGACCATGCTGGGAAGTCAAGCGCGATCCGAACTCTCCCCGCCTCTGGTCCCCGCAGGTTGCCACCTGTCACATCAAGGACGCCCACCGCCCCTCGCCCGCGGACGGCAGGAGACGCGCTCCCGCAGAACGGGTGGGGGCTCATTCGGCAGCACCTCCCCTCGAGCCCCAGCGCGGCAGGAGCCGTGCTTCACCCCCCGACCCAGCCGAGCCTTTCTTTCGCCGGCAAGCCGCACCTCCCGGCGCCCGGATCCGGCCCTCCGCCACAGATGAGCAAGCGCCAGCCGGGGCACACGGGGCGCTCCCAAGGCAGCCCGCGAGCGGGAAGTGGGGCGGCCGGCGAGCCGCACGGGGAGGCTGGAGGCGAGGGCGGGCGAGCGAGCGCGCGCGGGGCTCCGGGCCGCAGCTTTGTCCTCCCCGCGAGGCGTTCCTGGCCGAGGGGGCCTTGGGGAAGGGGCTGCCGCGGATGACCTTGCCGCTCTCCCTCTCGGCCTAAAGCCCCTCGAGACTGGGGGAGGAGGGGCTGAGCACGCGTGGGGGGAGCGGGGAAGCAGCCCGCTCGAGGGCGCCGGAAAAATCCCGCGCGAATGCCCTCGAGGGCCCCGGACGCAGGCGTGGGGCGGCGAGGAGCCGAGCCGGCGGCGGCACCGCTTCCCCGCCGCGAGCCTTCGGACCGCGGGTGGCCGGGGCTGGAGCGGCCGCGCGCCGCCCGCTTGGCACGGTGGATCCGCCGGCGGCCACATTGTATCCGCCGCCCGTGGGCTGGGGAGGGGGCCCGCGGCCCGGCCATCTCCGCGGCGGCGGCAGCAGCAGCGGCTGGGGACGGGAGGGAAGCGCCGGGTTTTCGCCTTCCCGCAGCCCGTCCTGCCCTTCATCTCCGCCCATTGCGCCCTCGCACGCGTGGGTTCCGCCGCCAAGCCCCCTCCTGCCCCGGCTCCCCACCCCTGCTGCGACCCCCTTCAGCCTCTGCGAGAGGCGCTTCCTCAACGTCGCTCTTCACGGGGCGAAGGAGGTGAGGGGGAAGGGTCATGCTAGTTCACTTGGGGGGCCGCTGAACTATGGAGGGGCGGGAGGAGCAGTCGCCACGGATTTTTTCAAAAACCGGCCCCCGTTTCCCCTCACCGGAAGGTTAAATCTTGATTCGATTCGTAGGGAGGAGGAAACCCTCGTCTGCGGGCGGCGTGCGGGGGTCCGGGCTCCCGTTTGGGGGTGGGTGGGCAGGAAAACCCCTTCCGCAGCAGGCGGGGCGCGGGGCGCTGGAGGGTTGCCGGAGGGCGAGGGGAGGAAAGCAAGGCGAAAATATGGAGCGCTCCCGGGAGACTGGGGCGCCACGCAAGGGGCCGGCGCGACGCGCAATCCCTTCCCTGCACCATTAAAACAAAGAACCTGCGCTGGATGCCCGCAAACATTTGCCCGGCGCCGATTCGATCGCTTCCGATCAAAGTGAAGACTTGTCTTCATAACTCCCCCCCCCCCCGCTTCCAATCACCCAGACCTCCTTCCCGCTCCCCCCACCCCCTCTTGCCCAAATAAACCGCTTCCGATTTTTATCGCAGCCACCGGGGGTCGTAAAGTTATTTCCGTGCAATTAGCAAAAACAAATTGAAGGAAGGGGGGGACACACGGGCAACTTCGATGCAAGTACGTCGGATCCATCACAAAGGAGGTGCAGCAGCCGCGGCGCGCTCCTTCGCCCGTTTCAATTTCAGGTGGAAAGCTGGCACGGCTCGCTTACGACCGTCTGGCACGGCGGGGGCTTCTCTCCAGCTTGCTTCGGATTCCTCCCTCGCTCGCCCTCGCCTCCCCCCCTCCACCTCCTCGCACTTTTTTTAAAACGCCACCGAAAGGAGACCTCGGAAGTTTTATGCGTCTGTCAAACCCGCGAAGCCTCCTTTGAATGGAAGCTCGTTCCAGGCGCCTCGCCGTTGTTACAGGCAACGTCGGCGAGCGGAAGGCGAGCGCCCGCTCCAACCTTTTCCACACGAAAGCCCCCAGCCTAGCCTCTTCCTCTCACCTTTGCCCACCGGGCACGATCCGCCCGTCTCCCCGGGCACTTGAGGCACAACCGGAGGGGGCGGCTTTCTTGCCGATTTCCACATGGAAAAAAGGGAAGAGAAAGAAGCCGGGAATCCTGCAAGCCTGGAGTCCGCCGCAAACAAAGGAAGGGGCGAGCAGAGGGCGAGCGGGCGCACGCCGCACGTTGGAGAGACGCGGGAGCCACGCACAGAACGCGACTCGGGGGCTCTGCTGGCGCATCGCCCCAAATCCGCCGCGGCGGGAGACGGCGCGGGGCGCCTTCCGGAGAAGCCTTACCTTGGTGGAGATCTCGGAACTGGTGTCCACGGCGGTGTCCGACATGGCTGGCTTGGGATGTTTGTGCGGTATATAAAATAGAGTTAAAATACAAAAATAAGCCCCAGAGTGTACAGGTCCGACGGCGCGCGCCTGGGGAAGTGGGGAGCGCGGGAGGGGGAGAGCCACGAAATAAAAGCCCCGAGAGCCCGAAGGCAGGAACAATGCAAAGATGGCTTTGGACGGAGCCAGTGCGCGGCTCACGCGGCGCCAGTACCTTTAATATAGATTAGTGGGCGGCGCGCTCACTCCCCTGCCCGGCGCGGATTGGGCGGCCCGGGCCCGAGCGGGCACGGCGATTGGTCGCGGGGCAAACAATGGGCAAGGCTCCTTAAAGCGGTACGAGTCCGCCCGCCCGCCCCTCCGCGCCCGTCTTGTCACCGCTGCGATGAGTTTGTGCCTGGCCTCAGCCGTGCTTGAGGGAAAGGCAGCGCGAGGGGGGGGGGCGCCTGGTGTGTGCGCAACCCGCGGGAGGGCGGCGCTGCGAAGCGCGCGCGGCGAAAGGGGCAGGCGCCCTCGGGAGCCCGCGCGCCGCCGCCGCCGCCGCCCCCTCCGTCCCCTCCTCGGAGGGGGCTGGGAGCAGGCTGGGCGTGCTGCAAACGCGCAGGAGCCCGGTGGCGGAGGCATTGTTACAACGCAACGCTTGGGGGCGGAGCCTGGGGAGGGGGAGGGGAGGAGGGGAGGGGCGGGTGGCCAAAAGCCGACTTCTGACGTTGCTCGCTGCGCTCGGCGCCCGCTGCTCCGCCGAGGGGCGACTTCAAAGTTGCAAAGGCGCCTCCGACCCGCTTCCACCCGGCCGAGCCCGAGAGCGCCCTCCCGGGCTCCCGGAGCGCGGCGGCTCGCGCACAACCTGCGCAGCCCTCTGCAGAGCTGTAGCCCAAGCTTCCCCACCCACCCCCACGGGAAGCGGGGGTGAGAGCATCGTTTAAAGGTCTCTCTCGCAGGAGCGCGCGCGCGCGAACGCATATGCGCTTCCGACGCGGGCGCAAGGCCAGCCCAGCGCCCGGGCGCGCTTAGGATGGCGCAGCGGCGAACAAAGTGCGCGGGGAGAACTTGCGCGCTCGCGCTCGCACCGCTTCCCAGTAAACACGCACTTGAGTGCTGTGCACCGGGGAGGGGAGCAGCTGTCGGGGATTGGCCGCGCAGCGCCCGAGAGCGGCGCTCTCGCGCACGTGGAAACGTCCATTCGCGTGTCCGGGAATGAAGGGAGGGGACGAATACTTTGGAAGCCGGCAACTCTTTAATCGTTCGCCCCAGTTCATCACCGCCCTTTAATTTTCACCGCGATGTTTCGCCTTCTGGCCACACCGACCATTTTCCGGGGAACGAACTAAAATCTCCACTTAATAACAACAGTATAAACATTAAAAAAAATAAAAACCGAGGGGGGGGGGCAGAGAAAGAGATTCGCTCCCTAGGCGAGAGAAAGCTGCGAAAGGCGAACCGGTTTCTCCGCCAATTTTACTCCTGCCTGTCATATGCTTTTCACAAAGCAAAATGCCCCCACTCCGTGCCAATCACCACCAAACTGATTCTCCTACAGTCACCAAACTTGCCACCCACCCGCGGGCAACATCCAAGGAATTGGGCCAAGCCAATTAAAACCGCGACGTCGAGGTTTTGGTTTTGCTCCCTCTGTCCCCCTTCCCCCCACAAAACTTTACCAAGGAATGTGGACGGAACGACCAGAGGTTGCAAAACTCGCCCACGAAAGTACAAAGCTCGGAATTGCGATGCTGAAAGGGGCTTTTCTTTCCCTTTTTACCCCCGGGGGAAGAGAGAGAATGGCTGTTATTTTGACCGGTTGAATCTCAGGTAACGTTTTTGCTGTCCTTTGCAAAATTAGCGAAAGTTTGCATTCGTGAGATGGGAGGCAGCTCTGCCCCCTCCATCCTGCCTGGATGCACCGGGCAGCAGGGCGCCGAGCTCCAGCCGTGCTTGAAAACCCCATGGAGGCGAGCAGGCAAGGGAGACAAGCAGGATGTGCCACACTTAAGATGGCGCCGGCAGCCCTTGGTGGAGGCACCACTCGATATCGCAACGCAGGCAAGACCGCTAACCGACCGCGTCCGAGCCAGCCCGCTGCTCTGTACCCCAAGGAACCCTTTCCCGGTGCCCAGAATTAGCAGCGGCTTCTCAGGATAGGCGGGCAAGGGTGTCCCAGAACGCGCTGGTCTTATGCCGCACTCAACATGGCCGCCGAGCCGGGGCCGATCTTGTCCACGGAAGGCGGGACATCGAAGTCCGACGACGATCATTGGCCAATGGTACGGAGCGAACACAATGTTGACGCTTTGCGATGTTTTATTGGACGAATTTTGTGGCACTTATGATTAAAGTGCTTAAGAAAACCGGGACACTGGAACATACCCTTCTTAGTGGAATGGAGTTAAGCTCTCGCCGCCTTGTTTGCGAAAGAAAGAAAGAACGGAAGGGAAGAACTATCTTTGCAGCTGGGCGTTTGGTTGGTTGCAGTGGGAAAGCGCTGGGGCTGGGTTTATTTTTGCTTTTCCTTGCGCGATTTCCTCTAAAAGTCATGCATTACTGAGACAAGAAACCATGTATCGATTCCGGACGCAGCGTGGACTTTTTTGCAGGGTTCAATTTTTCAAATAGGAGTTTTTAAAACTTTCCACCGAGTTTTTGATGATTTCTACTCTCTCCACCCTCTTTCTGCCCGGCTGTAATTACAAATAGAATTGTAATTACACATAAAACTGTCTAAGATATTTGAAAGCAACGCTTTGCGACAGCGCTTTGTTTCTGCTGTTAAGTTGTTATTTTAAACGGCACTGCACAACATTTACTGCTCGGAGTTTGCAAGATCGCTTTCTTTCAACTCTGCTTCCGTACAAACGAGTTACATTTCACACTTGGAAATCGGAGATCTCGGTTCTAATTCTGCACAGTCACAGATTAGCGGGATAATCTTTTGAGAATCTCTGCTTAAATGAACACAAAAGATTAAACTGCAGCCTCTCTAGGAGCATTTGTACAAATGCAAGCTTGTTTGGAGCATGAGAGCCGGTGTGATGTCATGAAAGGACTTGAGAGATGCAGATTCCAGTCCCCCCATTCAGCCGTGTAATACACTGGGTGACTTTGAGCCAGTCACTTTCGACCAAACCTACCTCACAGGGTTGTTTTGCAAGGATAAATGGAGTGTACTATGTAAAGTCACTTGGCTTTCTTGCAAGGCGGTAACAGTTGGGATATAAATGCATTATAATAATGAGCAGCAGCAGAAAAGAAAATTGCTCTGAGTTTAGGGCTGGACCAGCATTCATGAATGCTCCCATTCTGAAACAGACCTGTAGAAGCTCTTCTAATCCAGACATAACTCCTCAACTAGCAGTTCTGAATCCACAGTGGTCCAAAGTTTGATGGAAGCAGGTCTTTTCCCTCCTGGCTGCTTCAGAGCTCCAGGAAAGATCTACTAGGCATTGCAGCTGCACCTGGAAGCATGCCAGATTCAACAGGGGGTGCCTTCTTGCTGAGGACCAATTCGCACATTTCACGAAACACAGGTTGGCCCCCAGTTGCACTCACAGGAGCCCTGGCCTGAAATGCTCTTCAGATGAAACTCCTTGCGCAACGTCTGTTTGTGGCCATCTTTTGGGGTGTCCACTTGAAGCATCCGAGGGTCACAGTAGCTGTGACTGCAGAGAGGTGTGTGCTGTGAACCTGCTCACTCAGCTTCACGTTATTGGGCAGTATCAAAATGAGGAAATGTTCCTAACAAGCAGCATGGGGGAAAGGGTGCACCCCTCACAGACATGGGTGCAAAGATGCACACACAGGTCTCCAAGCTGTGCAGTGGAATTCCCTTTCTCCCTGTGCTCTTTCAGGCGGTCCTTTCCTGGCTGTGTCCCACAGGCGAGTCCCCTGCACAGTGACTCAGAAGTTGTCCCACTGATTCTCCAGGGTGCCCTTGAAATGCTGCCTACACCCCCCGTTTCCTGCATTTGCTCAGAGAGACATACTTTAATAGATAAACAGATCAGTGCTGCATTTGGGGCAATAAGCTGCAGGTTGAACTGCAAACTTGGTAAAAGACTTCTGCAGCTCGAGCTGCATTTGCAGAAGGGCATGAGCTGTTTTAAAGGGCTTTCTTTCCAGACCATGAAGAGCTTCACCTGCTATGGGTCAAGCAACTCTTAAAGGCCGAGTTCGCCAGGCTGCCTGAAACACAGGCTGGCAGAAGCCAGTCAATTTGGTGCAGGGGCCTGGGGGTGATTTTTTTTTTTTTTAATAGCTGGCATTGCGAATCATGAAAGTGACCGATTTAATTTCATCCTCATCACTGAATAGGTAAATGGTGCAAGGGAAGGAAGAAAGGTGAAGGACTGCCTGCTCCTGCTGTGAGGCTGGCGGGCAGCAAGGGGGACGCCCGCTTCAGAGGCCTGCAGCCATGTGGGTGTTTGGCATTGCAACTGTTTGCACTACGTAAAAGCTCTGGTCAAGCCGGAAGGCTTGCACCCTGTTAATGAGGTGCAGACTTTCCCATGAGAAAGCTCGATGGCCAATTCCTAACCAGCAACGGGTCACAGAACATGGTGCAGAGGCTGGCGTGTGCTTGCATGGTTTTCTGCAGTGGAATGCAGGAAAACTCCCAGTCTGGGGGCGGGTTAATCCTTAACTGTCATGCAGTTGCCATACTAGAGAAGCGCCACTGTGGTGTCGTGGTTAAGAGCACAGGACTGGGATTCAGGAGATCTGGGTTCTAGTCCCCACTCAGCCATGGATCCAACTGGGTGACTTCCGGCAAGTCACAGATTCTTGACACAACCTACCTCACAGGGTTGTTGTGAGGATAAGATTGAGAGCAACAGGAGGAGAATGATGTAAGCCACTCTGAGTTCTTTATAAGAAGAAAGGCGGGACGTACATTTAACAAATAAACGTTATCTTCACAATGAAATCATGGTGAAGTCCATTCACTGCACACTTCCAAAGTGTGGCATTTTATTCTAGCTTCATGGTATCTGAAGGTTTTCCTCAGAAATGCCTAACCTGCATGAGAGCTGGTGTGTCTCCTATCAAACGCAATGAGGGCCTACAGACTTTTATCTAACCTTGTATGAATGGTTAAGGGTGGAATGTAAAACATGCTTTGAAGAAAATACTACAATTCCCAGCATGCTCCAGCCAGCAGAGCTGGGACTTGGCAGGAATCTTGTTCCTTTCTAAACATGCATG